TAAGTAGAAAAAAAAACAAAGTAGAGGGAAAAAAGAAAACTTGCAGACCAACTCCAATAACTTCAGTTTGAAGTAATGAGTTCAAGAAGAAAAAAAACAGAGTATGAATATAAAGTTGTTGAAGTTTATGTCTGAAAAATACAACAATTTATCAAACAAGAAAAAAAGCGGTAAATAACAATAAAATAAAACATAACTGAAAAGAACTTAGAGCAGGGATGGAAAATTCGTTGGCTAATGGAAATGTGAAAATTGATTTAAGATACTTTTTAAAAAATATGTCAAAAGTAGATACTTTTTAAAAAACAATTCTGCTGAATTTGAAAATTGATATTTTTGCAACTTCTTTATAACATAACACAGCTGAATTGCCTATTCAGCTAGCTGAATTTTATATTTTGTAACAAAATAAAATTTTAACTTATTTTTAAAAGAGATTTTATTCGGAATTACAAAACTTCATAACTTATTCTGCCTTATTCTGCCACTTAAATTTTTAGCTGAATTGTTAATTGTTGCAGTTAAATTGTAATATTTTATTAATATTTACCATTTTATATTCTCTTTTAAAATTCCTCAGCAGGATTATATATTATGATAGCTGAATTTGTTATTTCGTTATTATCTGTAAATTTCTTTAGCTGAATTTGGTTTTTTATAACTTCATATGATTTTTTGTTATTTTAATGCTAGAATATTTAACAGAATATGAAATTTTGTAATAATTTGTAAATTTTTTTATAAATAATAATAACATTTCTTTAATATTATTTACATTTGTTGATCTCAATTGCAAATTAATTAAGCTGTATTAGATATTTGTAAATAAAGTTTTATAAAGTTTACTTAGCTGAATTGCAAATTTTCCTTAGCTTAACGAAGTTTTTAATAACTTCTCATTATTTTGTCTTATTTTAACACTTAGATATTTAGCTGAATTAAAAATTTTATAATAATATTAATATTTGTTTAAATCTTCTTTATATTTACTGAGCTGAATGATAATTTAAAATAGCTGAATTTAATATTTGTAAATAAAATTGTAGTTTTACACATTTTTTAAGAAGTTTACTTAGCTGAATAGCAAATTTTATTTAGCTGCATTATGTTTTTAATAATTTCATATGATTTTAGCATTAAAATATTTAGCTTTTTTACATTTCCCTAAAAAATACTTAGCTGAATAGCATATAAAAATAACTGAATACAATAGTTGTAAAAAATATAAAAGTTTTATTTATTTTTTCATATTTTGTCTTGTTTAAAACTTAAATACTTAGCTGAATAGCAAAAAAAACTAGCTGCGTGGGTTATTTTATTAATTAAATTTAATTTTCGCGTGTTTTTGAAGAAATTTACTTAGCTGAATTGTAAATTCTTAAGCTAAATTAAGTTTTTATTAACTCTTTTATGTTTTAGACTTACGTGAGTACAGAAAACTTTAGCTGAATTCAAAATAAAGACAGCTGAAATCAAAATTTGATCATAATTACTAATCTATTTAAAATTACTCAGCTAAATTAGAGTTAAAACTTGCTGAATTGCTATTTTGAAACAGATTTACTTAACTGAATTGTAATATTAGGAACCATTACAGATTTTACTAAAAAAAATCATATTTTATTTTGAAAAAGCCATATTAAACAAAATAGTGAAACATTTAGTAAATTTAGAGATCTTGAAGTCATTAAGCCCAATATTTTTTTAAGTTTTTTATGAAACTTCATAACATTTTTAATTGAGAAGATATTTTTTTACAGAAAACTGTTTTCGTAGACAATGTTCTATTAAAGTATTTGTAAGTTTCTAAAAAAATATGCGTCTTGAAAAGAAAATTTTCTATTTCTACCCCTTTTTAAGTTTTCTTTACTATTTCAAAATCCCCCATTACCCAACCCTGCAGTAAACTTCATTTATACTTATTTTGGCAGTTAGAAAATAAAGAGAATAAACAAAATAAAATATTAAAAGACTATAAGAAGAGAGGGATTTTGCAGACAGAAAAAAACTAAAGAGCAGCGCGAATACGAAATGACAAATGTCAGTTGCCCAAAAAGGAGAATGTTTAATGCACAAAAAAAAAGGAAATTTACAAAAAAAAGAAGAAAAAAACTAAAATTATATTCATAAAATTTATAAAAATAACTACAAAACTAAAAATAAACATACCTGTTTTGAAATTAATGAAAATTTTGAATTTTTCAACAGCAATTTGTGTTTTGTAAATGACACACAGACGAGATGAAATTTTTTCAGAAAAAAAAGGGAAAAAGAATAAAAATTTTATAATTAATAACAAAATAGTTTTTTTTTTCAAACTTTATTCTGTACTAATTTAAGCAAACACACCCTAATTATGTTCAAAAAACAAAAAGCACTTAACACACCCGGTTTAATTTATGGAAAATGTTTAATTTTTAACTTTGTACGTTTTAAACTTCTTTATGAAAAACTACATATTTTTCCGACTCTATTTAAAACAAAACTAAATTTAGATAAATGCTTTTCTCTACTTATTTTTTCACCACAAACTTGTATTATTTGGTCTTATTTTATTTCTCCTCTTTCGCAAAAAAAAATCGTTTAACTTTCACATTTTTTTTTTTTTTTTCTTATTGCACTTTTTTTCAACAAATTTATTTTACCTGTTTTACTTTTTTTCTTCAAATAAAAACTTTTCTTATTGTTAAACTTAACACTTTTGAGTAAAATATTTAATTTTTTTTAAACAAAAGCAAATTTCTTATATTTTCTTTTATAATAATAACTTATTGTTGTTTTAATATAAATAATTTATTTTAATTTAAAGCGCCCGCATCGATTTGTGAACACGAACGCACTCAAATCACATTTAACTTTAAAGATATTTCCAACAGTATAAAAATTAATCATAAGACAACACACAGCATTGCCATACATTAGCACTTACACATACACTCTCTCACACAAATACAAAAAAAAAAAATTACTCTTTAAAAAGCTCTCTAGTTATTTACTTTTTATACCCTCTTTTCTAATTGCATTTTTATGCTTGTTTGTTATTTTCCTTAAAAATACCGTAATATTTTTTTAATTTCCTAATTAATAAACACTTTTTTTAATAAGTTTATTGTTTTCTTTTTAATTAATATTTACTTTTATTTATATTACACTTCAGATACTTATTGCTGTTGTAATTTTCATCTTTCTTTTTTGATGACGTCTAATTTGCATAAAACATCATCTCATTTATTTTAAGTTTTGTTTACCCCTCTTGTTGCTCTCTATTTATTACATTTTCTTAAACAAGCTGAAAATCTCACGTGGAGAACTAGTTTTTTCATTGTTGTTGTTGCTTCTTTTTGAAGTTTCCTTTTTTCTTGTTTCTTTTTGTTCACTCTTTCTATACAGCCTAGTTGTCAAATTGTGCTGGTGGCGTGATATCTATGTTGCCATATTTCTAACGGAAAATAGGTGTAAAAAATCATGAGCTCCGGTATATGTCATATATAAATGGTGGTAACTTTTTAATAACCGTTAAATGAGAGAAGAAACTTTAACTAAAATCGAATAGAACTAAACAAGAATCATACTAAAAGTGGACATGAATTGGAATAGTACTCGAACTGAACTAGACTTAACTTAGAACTGAGCGGATTAGAACGGAACTATAACTGAACTAGAACTGAACTAGAACTGAACTAGAATTGAACTATAATTGAACTAGAACTGAACTAGAACTGAACTAGAATTGAACTAGAATTGAACCAGAACTGAACTAGAACTGAACTATAACTGAACTATAACTGAACTAGAACTGAACTAGAACTGAACTAGAACTGAACTAGAACTGAACTAGAACTGAACTAGAACTGAACTAGAACTGAACTAGAACTGAACTAGAACAGAACTAGAACAGAACTAGAACTGAACTAGAACTGAACTAGAACTGAACTAGAACTGTACTAGAACTGAACTAGAACTGAACTAGAACTGAACTAGATCTGAACTAGAACTGAACTAGAACTGAACTAGAACTGAACTAGAACTGAACTTGAACTGAACTAGAACTGAACTAGAACTGAACTAGAACTGAACTAGAACTGAACTAGAACTGAACTAGAACTGAACTAGAACTGAACTAGAACTGAACTAGAACTGAACTAGAACTGAACTAGAACTGAACTAGAACTGAACTAGAACTGAACTAGAACTGAACTAGGACTGAACTAGAACAGAACTAGAACTGAACTAGAACTGAACTAGAACTGAACTAGAACTGAACTAGAACTGAACTAGACTTGAACTAGAACTGAACTAGAACTGAACCAGAACTGGACTAGAACTGAACCAGAACAGAACTGAACTAGAACTGAACTAGCACTGAACCAGAACTGAACTAGAACTGAACCAGAACTGAACTAGAACTGAACTAGCACTGAACCAGAACTGAACTAGAACTGAACCAGAACTGAACTAGAACTGAACTAGAACTGAACTAGCACTGAACTAGAACTGAATTAGAACTGAACTGAACTAGAACAGAACTAGAACTGAACTAGAACTGAACTAGACTTGAACTAGACTTGAACTGGACTAGAACTGAACTAAACTAGAACTGAACTAGAACTGAACCAGAACTGATCTAGAACTGAACTAATGCTGAACTGAACTAGAACTGAAATAGAACTGTACTGGAACTGAACTAGATCTTAACCAGAACTGAACTAGAATTGAACCAGAACTAAAATTGAACTAGAGCTGAATTAGAACTGAACTAGAACTAAACTGAATTGCATTAGAACTGAACTAGAACTGCTAGCGGCAATTTCTCACACATAAACCCTTTTCCCATCAGCCACTTTTAAAGGCCACAGTAATGAAATATTTAATTTGTTTTTACTCCCATTTCACTGCAATGAAACAAAGAATTAATCAACATGTAGTTTTCACATAAATTTTATTAAAATTGTTTTTATTTTCAAATTCATTTTGAAGTTGTGTAGTTTTTTGGAGTTTTTTTTTTTTTGTTAAAGAATTATTTTATATAAAAATAAGCAATTTTTGTAACCAATATAACGAAAAACTTAAATGCTAAACTTATGTTTTATATGTATAGAGTTATTAATTATTAAAAATTAATTAATTGTACACGTATTTATTTTGTTATATTATATACATTATTTCTGTAATTAACAGTTGGTTGTGTTTTCTTTTTTTGTTAGAGAGAAATTAATAAAAAAATATTCAAAAATGATTATTAGTCTTGATATAAAACTAAAAATAAATTTAATAAAAAAATAATATGTTTTCTTTAATTTAGTTAATTTTAAATGATAAAATATGCAAACTTAGACTTTTTTTAAATTAAAATCTATTTATAAAAGACATTTTAAATTGAAGCAGTGTGATCGGCTCTGTACAGATAATGTAGCGCAGAATATGTTTCCCAAAAAAATTGAAAGGTCACGGGGGGGGATCTCGATTTCGGCTCCTATTAATTGGGATCGGCTACCACTGATTTAAATGACATTATGTGTTTTAATACATTTAACAAAAGTTTTTTCATTACTTTAGATAATAGTATTTAAACGCATGTTTCTGCAGCAATTTTATCTTTTTTTCACCTCATGTCAGGCTAGGTAATCTTCAATATCATCTTCATTTTTAATTTCAGCATGCGGCTCTGTCGGCAGCTGTTGATTGTTACTGTCGGGCAGTATGGTTTCTTCACTGGATTGATTCGATTTGGAGACTATAATGATTTTTGAACCGGTAGCAGTACTGCGTGTAACACGTTTCACTGTGGCCATTGTGGTAGTGGTTATGGTCTCTGAACTACCACTTGCAGACGAGCCTCCAGAACGTACAGTTGTTACTATGGAACCCTAATGAGGTAAGTTTTTGAAAATATTTTTATTAAAATTTTAAAAATTTAAATTTTTTTTATAAAACTCCATCTAAAGATTTGTCGTAGTCCCACTATAGTCTAGTTCTGTTTAAGTTCTCGTTCTAGGTCAGTTCTAGTTTAGTTCGAGTGTAGTTACAGTCAGTTCTAGTTCAGTTCTTGTACAGTTCTAAAATATTTTGTTGGCAACTGCATAAAATGTATCTAAGTAAACAACTCTCTTACTTCTTCGACTCCTTTACCTGAGTTTTCTTCGCTATGGTGTTGGTATTCTTTCCATGTTGTGTTGAAGTCGCTGCTGTTGGGTACTGATGAGGATTTGTTAAGGCTTTCGGTGTGGAAGTTTTCAAAGGCGGGGTTGTATAAAAGACACGCGGTGATTCCTGTGCCGGTCTTTTTATGGGTCGTTTATTCACACTGTACGTTGTGGTGGTTATCTTATTATTGCTAGAGTCCATGGATGTGGACATTATGGCACCGGTATGTGTAGACATGGTAGACTTGGTATAAGCTGGTATTGTTGATAGAGGTGTCATCATTTGCATTTGATAGCCTATGATATTACGATCTGTATCGTAGATAGGCACTTGACGTTGTTTGACCATAACAGAACTTCCAGCACCAGCTCCTGCTGCTGATGTTGCGGTTGTAGTTAATGTGGTATTTCTATTACGACTCGTTTGTACTTTTCTCACCGCTTTATGGTGTTGACTGGAAGCCAATATAGTGGGTGAGGGTTGCAGCTGGGGCATGGGCCCGGCGGACAAGGTGTTGGCGGCCGCAATAGCTGGTTGTGTTGTTATATAACTGTTTGTATTTAAAATTGCTGAAGTGGGTGGTTGCGTGGGATGATCAAGCGTTTCATTTTGCAATAGCAGGGTTTGTTTTATGTACTCTTCCATTAACACTAACGTTTGATCCAAATCTTTAGCGCTAAACTTGCCTGTTCCTATTAAAGCTTCTATTATACGATGTCGATCCACAAAACTTAAACTTTCAAAAGGTTGTACCAACTGTTTAAGTAGCACATCAAAGCGTCTTAAATTGCAGCGTAATGAAGAATTTTGCACATTACTCATTGCAGTCATATGTCCGGCTCCTTTGGGCATAATAGAAATTATGTTTCTCGGAAGCGTAGCTGCTGAGGGTGCTGCTTGCGGTGTTGGAGCTGGTGGCTGGGTAGGCAAAATTTGTGATTCCGCCGGTAGTGAGTGTCTTATTTTCGCCGTTATAGTTGTGGTGGGTGGTAATTGTTTGGTCAAAGCATTTATGGTGGCTGTTAAGGCTGGTCGGGGTGTTGGTGCCATTGTGGGTATTACCGCAGGCGGCGGTGCTGTTATTGTCGTGGCAGCCGTGGCCATTTTATGATGTGTAGCAAGATTTTTTCTTATTTTTTCGGCCTTTTTACGTATAATAGCCGGTATAGAGCTATTGCCACTTTCCAAATCGGCTCTCGTTACCACCTTAGTTGTCAAAACTATAGAGGCGGGTAATTCTATAATCGGCACTTGCACCTGAGCATGTATGCGTGTCGGATCAATGGCCGGCATAGGACCATCCAAATTTGGACAACAATAGTCCAGCAAAACATTGCTGTGATTACGATTATATTTGGCAGGATGCAAGAAAGTGTACATACAGGTGCCTCTATTATCCAAAGCCGTGGGTGTTACTCCAAACGACGGCACATAGTTGCTGCTGCTAGAGTCTGTAGTCAATAGACGTATATCTGTGGGTGTAACAGAACTGGAGAGAGCATGTTGAGCTGCTTCTGTTATAGTTTGAGCACGGGCCAATAGTGTTGGTGTATCGGGTAGTATGGCGTCATTTATTAATCCCATGGGATTTTCATCTACAAATTCATTTTTAAGCTCAATAGTTTCATTTGTGTCAGGAACATTTATTAGGGTTGTGGTAGTTAAGGGAGCCACTGTGGATGGCGCGCGGGTGGTGGTCGGTAAGATATATGGTTGTTGTACCGGTTCAATGACTGGCATAGGTGTTAGCAGGGTGTTTGTATTGGGTATCATATGCGGTTGAGTTTGATCAATAAGTGCTGCTGGTTCTGAAATTAAATTGTAAAATTTATTAAAAAAAATTATTTTAGAATTAAATTTTAAATAGATTACTCCTTAAAAATATAAATTTCTGTTATAGTTTAGGACCTACTTTAGTTCTAGTTCAGTTCTAGTTCAGTTCTGATTCTAATCTAGTTCAGTTCTAGTTCAGTTCTAGTTCAGTTCTAGTTCAGTTCTAGTTCAATTCTAGTTCAGTTCTAGTTCAGTTCTAGTTCAGTTCTAGTTTAGTTCTAGTTTAGTTCTAGTTCAGTTTTAGTTCAGTTCTAGTTCAATTCTAGTTCAGTTCTAGTTCAGTTCTAGTTCAGTTTTAGTTCAGTTCTAGTTCAGTTCTAGTTCAGTTCTAGTTCAGTTCTAGTTCAGTTCTAGTTCAGTTCTAGTTCAGTTCTAGTTCAGTTCTAGATCAGTTCTAGTTCAGTTCTAGTTCAGTTCTAGTTCAGTTCTAGTTCAGTTCTAGTTCAGTTCTAGTTCAGTTCTAGTTCAGTTCTAGTTCAGTTCTAGTTCAGTTCTAGTTCAGTTCTAGTTCAGTTCTAGTTCAGTTCTAGTTCAGTTCTAGTTCAGTTCTAGTTCAGTTCTTGTTCAATTCTAGTTCAGTTCAGTTAGTTCAGTTCTAGTTCAGTTCTAGTTCAGTTCTAGTTCAGTTCTAGTTCAGTTCTAGTTCAGTTCTAGTTCAGTTCAGTTCTAGTTCAGTTCTAGTTCAGTTCTAGTTCAGTTCTAGTTCAGTTCTAGTTCAGTTCAGTTCTAGTTCAGTTCTAGTTCAGTTCTAGTTCAGTTCTAGTTCAGTTCTAGTTCAGTTCTAGTTCAGTTCTAGTTTAGTTCTAGTTCAGTTTTAGTTCAGTTCTAGTTCAATCTAGTTCAGTTCTAGTTCAGTTCTAGTTCAGTTCTAGTTCAGTTCTAGTTCAGTTCTAGTTCAGTTCTAGTTCAGTTCTAGTTCAGTTCTAGTTCAGTTCTAGTTCAGTTCTAGTTCAGTTTTAGTTCAGTTCTAGTTCAGTTCTAGTTTAGTTCTAGTTCAGTTTTAGTTCAGTTCTAGTTCAATTCTAGTTCAGTTCTAGTTCAGTTCTAGTTCAATTCTAGTTCAGTTCTAGTTCAGTAGTTCTAGTTCAGTTCTAGTTTAGTTCTAGTTCAGTTCTAGTTCAGTTCTAGTTCAGTTCTAGTTCAGTTCTAGTTCAGTTCTAGTTCAGTTCTAGTTCAGTTCTAGTTCAGTTCTAGTTCAGTTCTAGTTCAGTTCTAGTTCAGTTCTAGTTCAGTTCTAGTTCAGTTCTAGTTCAGTTCTAGTTCAGTTCTAGTTCAGTTCTAGATCAGTTCTAGTTCAGTTCTAGTTCAGTTCTAGTTCAGTTCTAGTTCAGTTCTAGTTCAGTTCTAGTTCAGTTCTAGTTCAGTTCTAGTTCAGTTCTTGTTCAATTCTAGTTCAGTTCTAGTTCAGTTCTAGTTCAGTTCTAGTTCAGTTCTAGTTCAGTTCTAGTTCAGTTCTAGTTCAGTTCTAGTTCAGTTCTAGTTCAGTTCTAGTTCAGTTCTAGTTCAGTTCTAGTTCAGTTCTAGTTCAGTTCTAGTTCAGTTCTAGTTCAGTTCTAGTTCAGTTCTAGTTCAGTTCTAGTTCAGTTCTAGTTCAGTTCTAGTTCAGTTCTAGTTCAGTTCTAGTTCAGTTCTAGTTCAGTTCTAGTTCAGTTCTAGTTCAGTTCTAGTTCAGTTCTAGTTCAGTTCTAGTTCAGTTCTAGTTCAGTTCTAGTTCAGTCTAGTTCGTTCTAGTTCAGTTCTAGTTCAGTTCTAGTTCAGTTCTAGTTCAGTTCTAGTTCAGTTCTAGTTCAGTTATAGTTCTAGAAATTCAATATTATTCTAGAAACTCGTGGGATAGTTTTCTTCAGAAAATAACCTTGGAATGAGTAGAAATATATGTAAAAAAAGTAAATATTACCGTGTACATCCGCCGTAGAGGAAGTTGGTGTTGCACTTAGTAGGGTGCCGGCGTCAACTACCGATTGTATACGTAAATTAGTTTCAGAATTATTTTGTATAACTGGTAAGACTCTTTGTGGTTGTTGCTACGGGCACTAAAAAATAAAAATAAAAAAATAAAATTTAGAATGTTAATATTTGAAATTCTATAAAGAGCAGTAAGTAAAAATATATAATTACCTTCAGCACCTTGCTTTTTATTCTTATTCAAAGCATTGAAATATTTCTTTACCATGGAACGATTAAGACGAACTCTTAGCTTACGGCATTTGTAAGTTTTTAAAGTACTTGCTGTGGGAGTTATCTGCAAGATAAAGTTAGTTAAAGTTAGTTCAAATAGAGGGAATACAAACTTTATAAAAACTTACCTTAAGACGTTTATTATGATCATCAACATATAATTTCTTTATATTATCAGCACTTGGTATTAGATTTAGTAAAGTTGAAGGATGTCCTGCCGCCGGTTGTTTAGGTGTTTTAAATACAACATTACTTGCTTGTATAGCGGGCTGTTGTTTAGGTATTACTAAAGATTTTCTAGCAGAAGCTATAACAACTTTATCCATGGAATCTTTTGGAGTGAGAAGAGGCATAGATTTTCTAGATTTTGCTACGCTTTCAGTAGCAGCAACAATTTCAGTGGTTTTTGCCGCTTCGGTTCCAGCTAACTCTTTAATGTTTAGAGATTTGCGTGATTTGGTAGACAATACTTTGGATGGAGGAGTTGAGAACATTCTTTGTTCTGTATTTGCCATAATGTCAGGAGTTTTAAGCATATCTCTGGGTAGTAAAGAGGATCTTTTAGTTTTAGCAGCAATTTGCTGAGTCTTACGTTTTGTGGGCGATTTGTTTATGTCTTTAGTTGTAGGCGTGTTAGTGGTTGTTGAGGTGTCTGAATTTTCGGAAAATTCCATAACTTTGGGTATTTCAGCCGTGACATTTGCCATAGATGGCTCTTGGCTGGTATTTAATTGTTCCATACTGTCATTTACATTTCTTTTGACTGATAAGCGTTGACGCTTAACATGTGTGGGTGTGTTTAGAAGATCATTTATGCCACCCTCTTTCATTTCCTTAGACATGGACTCTATAAGCAAGTCAATTTCTCGTTTTTTAGGTTTCAATTTGGGTGGACTGACCTTGGGAGTATTTGATTTTCCCATTACTATTGGACTGGCTCGTTTTTGGGTAGATTTTCTAATCGAGTTAGAAAGCCGTTTTACAGCTTTTTTACTACTACTTTTTCTGCTCTGCTGCTGTAACACATTTTGCAACTGATTATCCGAAGGTTGTAATAAACTATTATCCAACTGTTGTGTGGTATCCGTTATATTTTCCGAAGTTTCTTTGTCATCTGTAGCTTTAGAATCCTGCTGAGGTTGCACAGTTGACTGCAAGTCTTTTTCCTTAATTTGGCTTAATATTTTGTTGTCTGCTTGTGTTGTGGTGTCAGCCATTTCTAGCGTTTTGTCTTTGTCTTCTGCTGGTTTTGTTTCCGAGATTTTCGCTGCTGGCTTGACTTTAGGTGGACGCCCTGGACGTCTTGCTGCCGGCTGCAATTCTTTTTCCTTATTCTGACACATCATATTGTTGTCTTCCTTTGTCGTAATCTCAGCTACTTCTTCCTTTTCGTCTTTATCTTCAGTAGGCTTTATTTCTGATGTTTTTGTTACTGGCTTATCTTTTACTTTAATTGGGTTGACAGATGTTGCTTGTGTCGTATCTTTTGTAGTGCTAGTAGTCTCTGTTGATTCAACTTCCACATTTTGTTTCTTACTTTTTAGCCAATCTGAAAATGACATCACCGCAGAAGAGCCTGGTGATTTGGTAGGGGAAACATTAACTTTTCCCTTAATAGTTTTAGTTTTATCCGTTAACACCGTAGTAGAGCCGCCTCCAGGAGTTTTAGTAGGTGAAACATTAATGTTTGTTTTATTACCTTTAACACGTTCCGGTGTCTCTTGTACTTTGGAGACATTTGAAATGACTGCTTTAGCTTCTGTGGGTAAACTTTTCTTGATGTTTACATTCGACTTTATGCTCAAAGGATCTTTATTAACTGATTGTTGTTTTATTACTTGTAAAGCTACTTTATTAGTAGTTTTTGTTGTTTGTTTAGAGCCCAATACTTCCTTCTGAAGTACTTTTTCAGGCTCTTTTATCGGTGCGAATTTTCCTTTAGCATTTCTTGGTTTCTCTTCTGTATTTTTCTCTTGGACGCCAGTATTATTTAAGGGCTCCTTGCTTGATTCAGTATTTTTTGTTTTGTGAAGTTTCAGGCAGTTGTTGTTTTGTTGCTGGTACTTCTTGTGGCTCATGCAAATAATCCTGTTCTTTTGTAACAACATCCGCTGTAACAACGGGCAACTCTTCTTCTACCAGACAATCGTCATTTAAATTACGAAAACGTGCTGAAATTATAAATGAAATACGAATAAATTAAAAAAAAATAGTTTAGAGAGAACGGTCTTGTTCCAGTTAAGTAGTTCAGTTTTAGTTCAGTTCTAGTTAGTTCTAGTTTCTAGTCGTTCTAGTTCAGTTCTAGTTCAGTTCTAGTTCAGTTCTAGTTCAGTTCTAGTTCAGTTAGTTCAGTTCTAGTTCAGTTCTATTCAGTAGTTCAGTTCAGTTCTAGTTCAGTTCTAGTTCAGTTCTAGTTCAGTTCTAGTTCAGTTCTAGTTCAGTTCTAGTTCAGTTCTAGTTCAGTTCTAGTTCAGTTCTAGTTCAGTTCTAGTTCAGTTCTAGTTCAGTTCTAGTTCAGTTCTAGTTCAGTTCAGTTCAGTTCTAGTTCAGTTCTAGTTCAGTTCTAGTTCAGTTCTAGTTCAGTTCTAGTTCAGTTCTAGTTCAGTTCTAGTTCAGTTCTAGTTCAGTTCTAGTTCAGTTCTAGTTCAGTTCTAGTTCAGTTCTAGTTCAGTTCTAGTTCAGTTCTAGTTCAGTTCTAGTTCAGTTCTAGTTCAGTTCTAGTTCAGTTCTAGTTCAGTTCTAGTTCAGTTCTAGTTCAGTTCTAGTTCAGTTCTAGTTCAGTTCTAGTTCAGTTCTAGTTCAGTTCTAGTTCAGTTCTAGTTCAGTTCTAGTTCAGTTCTAGTTCAGTTCTAGTTCAGTTCTAGTTCAGTTCTAGTTCATTTCTAGTTCATTTCTAGTTCAGTTCTAGTTCACTTCTAATTCAGTTCTAGTTACTTACTTGATTTCTTTGATGTATTATCCAATTTTGGTTTTTTGCCAGAACTTTGATTCTCCTCCAAGGCTGGTGAACGTAAAACCCGTTTTATAGTAGTACTTCCTATAACCGTAGGCTTATCAAATTTACCAATCTTTTGCGCTGCCACTGGTGTTGGTGTAGTCTTCAATGGTGGTGGCTCTTTAAAAAGTTTCTTCTTTTTATCTGTAAATGTAAGAAAACAAATATAATATTACTTTCTGTTAATATAATTATACAACTAATTAAATCTTCACCATTTTCCGATAATGGCGTTTCCGTTGCCCGTTTTCTTAAAGTTCGTCGTATTGTATTGTCCGAGTTGGATGATGTGATAGAGGAGCATTCACTGCCAGACATATCAGCATCTAAACTGATACTGTCTTGTTGGGATTTTGAGAGTGTATCAAACATTGAAGACTCTGCTTGTTCTGCGATCACGTCTTCATTTTCCAATTGCGATTCTTCGGCAGGTTTTTTGTCGACGTTAGAGGTTATGTCCTCTGATTGAGATATTTCAGTTTTTTCATCGGCATTTGAGAGTTTTTGTTTAATTTCTGTACGTTTTTTTGGTATTCGAGGGCTTTTTATCTTGCTCTTCTGTGGAAAGTTTTGAATCCTCTAGTGTTGAACTCGATTCAACAGTAGAAGTTTCTGGGGTATCTTTTTCTGGTTTTGCCGCATCTTGTGTTGAAGTTTTTTCCGTAGACGGTTCAACCGAAGATATTTTTGTTGTTTCTTTTCCTTCTTTAAGTTCATTTTCTGGGTTTACAGCTTGAGTTGCTTTAATATCTGCACGACTCCTAGTTTTTCTCGGTTCGGCATGTTCTTCATCTGTTTGTGTTTTATTATCATCATGGTTTGTTGGTTTTTCTGTTTGTTTTGCAGAATTATCTTTCTCTTCTTGTATTGCTGCTGCAATCTTTTCAGTTGTTTTATTTTCAGCTTGTTCTTTAACTTCAGCAGTTGTTTCTTTCTCTGCTGTTTCTTTAATTTCAGCACGACTTCTTGTTTTTCTAGGTTCAAGAGTTTCCTCTTTGGTTTGTTCTTGCTGTGATAATTTCTCCTCAGAAGATTCAATTTGTGTTGTTTTAGTTGTTTCTTTGACTTGTTCATCTTTTTGGGCCACACGTTTCCTAGTGGTTCTCGGCTCAAAATGTTCTTCATCTGTGAGTATTTTACTATCATCTTGAGATGAAATTTTTTCTTTGGAAACTTCACTTTGTGTTATGTTCTTTGTTTCATTATGCTCTACTCGTTTTCTAGTTTTACGGGGTTCCAAATGTTCTTCATCTTCAGTTTGAGACTCTTCATTTGTTTCTTTATGTGCTCCCCGTTTCTAGTTTTCCTGGGTTCGCTTAGTTCTTCCTCTATTTGAGTTTTTCTTGTGTTGCACCTTTTTCTTGAGATAGTTCAGCTTGTGGTTGTTCCTTTGTTTCTTTAAGTTCACCCCCCTTTCTAGTCTTTTTGGATTCATTAATATCTTCCTCCGTTTGTGTTTTATCGAGTGTTGCACCTTTTCATCCGATAGTTCAGCTTGTGTTGTTCCTTTGTTTCTTTAAGTTCTCCACGCTTTCTAGTTTTTCTGGGTTCCAACTGTTCTTCATCTGTTTGTGTTTTGATTCATCTAGTGTTGCTGCCTTTTCTTCTATAATTTCAGCTGGAGTTGCATTTGTTTCTTTTTCTAATTCAGCTTTAACTTCACCACGTTTCCTAGTTTTTCTCGGTTCAAATTGTTCTTCATCCGTTTGTGTTTTTGTCTCATCAAGTGTTGCATCATTTTCTTCTGTAACTTCAGCTTGCGTTTCCTTTGTTTCTTTCTTTAATTCAGTATGTTTTCTTGTAGTTCTTGTTCTCTAATTGTCCTTCATCCGTTTTGAGTTTTAGAATCATCTAGTGTTGCACTTGTTTCTTCTGTAATTTTAGCTTCAGTCTCCTTAGTATCTTTTCCCAATTCAGCTTTAAGTTCTCCTCGTTTCTAGTTGTTCTTGTCTCAGACTTTTCTTCTTCCACTTGATTATCAGAATCCTTTTGTGTTGTTGTCAATTTTTTCTTCAGATTGTTGAGTTGTTTCCTTTGAGTCTTTTTCTCTTTATCTAAACTTTTTCGTCGATTTGAAGTTGTGTCGCTTCATCTTCTGTTTAGGTTCTGCACGACGACTTCTGGTTATTCTAGGTTTAACATGATCTTTATCTTCCTTTTGTTTGGTTAAATCTTCCTTTGAGGCGGATGATTCAGTTTTTTCTTTGTCTACCTCAGTTTTCTGTTCACCATGGCTTCTAGTTTTTCTTGGTTCAAAGTGCTTCTCTTCCTTTTCACTTTCTAAAACTTCACTGGTTGACTTTTGCTCCTCCTCTTCCTGTTTTGTAGCTTTAGCCTTTGAAGTTTTATTCTCTTCTTTAACTTGTGCTTTATCCACATGTTCCTTCTCTAGCTTTCTCTTTTGTAGTTTCAGTTTTTAAAGTTTTATCCTCAAGTTCTTCAGTTTTTTGAGACTTTTCCGCAGTTTCTTTCTCTTTAGTTTTACTTTCAGTTTTAACAACTTCTTTCAATCCCACCTTCTTTTTTTTCTAGTTTTTGCAAATTCTCTTCTTCACTAGTTGTTTTCTCAACTTTGCTTTTCTCCAATTTTTCTGCTTGAGATTCACTAGATTTTTAGCTTTTGGTGATTGTGTTCTTTCAGTTTTTCCCTCCTTAGATTCTTCATTTGATTTGATATTTTCCAAACGACTTCTAGTTATTCTTGGTGTAATTGCCACTTCACTCTTATCTTCTTCTGTTGTGTCCGTTACGGATTGTTTAGTATCATTAGCTTGTTCAGAGTTTGTTTGTTCTTTAGATGATTCAACTTTTGTTTCTTTTTTAGATAATTCAACTTTTGTTACTTCTTTAGTTGAAGAAACATCTGAAGTTACTTTAGTTTCCTTGGTATCTTTAACATCCTTTTCTTCTATCTTTGTTGCAGTCTCAGTCTCTTTTATTATGGCATCCTGGAGCTTTGTCGCCTCCTTAACTTTTCCAATTGTTTCCTCTTTTATATTTGCTTCATTCTTGGTTGTAGCCACCTCCTTTTGACCATCTTTTATTGTTGCTTCCTTGATGTTAGAATCTTCCATTTTCTGATCTTTGCTGGTGACTTCTTTTGCATTTTCTGTTGACTCTTTTGAATCCTTTGTTTCTTTTTCAGCCTTAACATCTTCCTTTTTCATGTTGGAGGCCTTTGTAATCTGCGGCGTTTTATTTTCTACAGTTTTACTCACAACTTTTATGACTTTTTTAGTGGGTTTGGGAGATTGTGTGGATTTTATGTTTGTATTTGTAGGTTTATCTTTTGCTATTGGTTTTGCATCTTTATTTGTGCTTTGTGGAGTTTGAGTTTTTGCTGCAGTTTTTGAATCATTGGGATTTATACTTTGTTTGCTTTGAGTTGTTTCTTTAACATTAACTTTCTGCTCTTTTCCGTTTGCTCTTTATTGGTATTTTGTGGAAGTTTAGTTTTGTCTGCCTTTGATTCGTCTGTCTTTGATTGTATGGCTTGTTTTTTGTCTGTTGCCTTTTCAGTCTCTTTTAGATCGGTTTTAGTTGCTGCAGTTTCTTTAAGAGGCTGCTTAGCAGAAGAGCTGGGGGTCTCTTGTGGGACTGCTTCTTTAGTTTCGGGAACTGAGATCTCTTTATTAGTATCTTTAGAAGTGTCGTATTAGTTCTTGTCATCAT